GCGGCGGGCAGGTGTCCTGAAGAACGCATTTCAGCGATCGCTCCCGAGACCCGTGCTGTGACTGTCGAGAGACCGTGCGGGCCTGTGGGCACGGAGTTCCTTAGCCGGCTCAGGCCGTGTTGCTGCTGCAGACGGTGACGAGGGGCTTGGCGTGGGCAGCGGCGGGAGGCGCTCGGGCCTCGGCTGCATGATGAGCGGGCACCACCTGAGCCGGCTCCGCAGGGCCGGCCGCCCCGTCTATTCCCACTCACTGTGCGGCGTGGGCAGGCGCTCACGCTGTCCGCTGTCCGCGTGTCCTCCTCTAACGAGGACCAAGATGATGCTCTCGGTGCCTCCTGGTCGTGCCAGGCTGAGGCAGGGCGTGGGGAGGGTGTGGCCAGTCCTGCCTGTGCTGCTGCTATCGTCCTGAGGCCAGGAAGCCAGGGAACCAGTTCAGCCCCGCTGACCAGGCTGTTCTTCACGTGTGGTCCGCACGCTGGCTGCTTTTCTTCTGGGACATTGTTTAGTGTAGCTCCAGCTTCAGCTTAAACAGCATTGAAATTGAGCCCTGGTTTGTATTCAGTTTTCAGTGCCCAGATCACTAAGAAATGTTTTGATTACTTCTAACCTATTTCTCTCTGGAAGCAGATACTGCAGTCAGATCTGATTTTTTTTTAAAAAAAAAACAAGTTTTTATTAATTTTTAGAGAGAGAGGAGCGGAGAGGGATAGAAAGATAGAAACATCTATGAGAGAGGAACATCACTGATTGGCTGCCTCCTGCACGCCCCCTACTGGGGATCGAGTCCACAACCCAGTGACCTCTTGGTTCCTAGATTGACACTCAACTGCTGAGCCACACTTGCTGGGTAGATCTTCTGCTTTAAAAAAACACTTTTTAAAATCCTCACCTGAGGATATATTTACTGATTTTAGGTATGGGAGGGACATGGGGAGAGAGACACAGAGAAGGAGAAAGGGAAACAGAAAATCCCTCGGTTGCCTCTGGCACATGCCCTGCTAGGGATGGAACCCACAACCTAGTTTTGTGTCCTGACCTGGAACTGAACCCAAAGCTCCGTTGGTTGGAGCGTCCTCCGCACCGAGAGGCGCCCGTCGGATTGGGAGATGCCGAGCAGAGGATGCCGTCGGCCCAAGCACGCGGCAGAGGAGGATTTCACTTTTTTCGAACGGCGTGGACAAGAGAAAGGCATTGTCAGTGGCTCCTTTCAAGCATTGTCTCTCTCTGACCCAATAGCCCAACTGGAGAAAAGGCTTCTTAAATTGTGATGTTATCGAAACTTGTTGGACAGGTTATGGGTACCACTTCACAGCTGGTGTTGGAGAGCTCCACTAGCGCTCACCGCTCGCCGCTCACGCGCACTGAGGCTCGTGGCTGCCGCTGATGTAGTCCAGTTACTGACCAAATCCAAAAGCAAGTGAGTCGCTTACCTTTCATGAAGATACTGGTTTTGCACAGACTCCCCCCTTGCTTAGGGTTTAACATTGTGAGTGATTTTCCAGTGAGTGGCAATCTGCTTATGTAACTTTACTTAAAGGCTCGACGAGTGAGCTAGCAGTGAAAGTAGTTGGCTTGGTCTTAGCCCAGCGGCTCTCAACCTGTGGGTCGCGACCCCTTTGGCGGTTGAACGACCCTTTCACAGGGGTCGCCTAAGACCATCCTGCATATCAGATATTTACATGACGATTCATAACAGTAGCAACATTACAGTTATGAAGTAGCAACGAAAATAATTGTATGGTTGGGGCACAACATGAGGAACCGTATTTAAAGGGCCAGAAGGTTGAGAACCACTGTCTTAGCCGGTTGAGATGCAAATGAACAAAAATGAACCAGTAAGTGTATGATGGGGAAATAGGGGTCCTGTGGTGTTTTATGGAAAGGGTTCTGGATAGGAATGGGGTGGCTTTCTAAGATGATGACTTTGGCTCGGGGCAGAGCAGTGCATTCGAGCTGGGAGAGAAGGTTGAGGGGGATCAGTGAGGTCCAGATGAGAGCGTGGTAGCGAGACCACAGAGGGGGTGAGGTTGGAGAGGAGTGGATGGGTTTGAGCGGCATCGCAGAAGTAAACGGACAGGTTTTGGTGACACATTGAATGTGGGGTCAGAGGGGTGGTCCTGAAAGTTGTGGCTTGTCTAATTGACAGATGTTGGTTCCAGGCCAGTTCCTAAGCTGGGGGTTTCGCACACAGGCCCGTTAGTAGGCTGGGGAGACGGGAGAGAGCCCGGGAGAGAGCCCGTTGGAAGCAGGAGGGGAGGGAGGCGGTAGTGAGCCTGAGGGGAGCTGCTGCTGAAGGTGCCTGGAGATTCCCCAGAGGAAGTGCCAGCTTCGTGTGGGTGAATGGGCTCGGCTCAGGGGCGCCCTGGATGGGGAGCCAGTGGCCTGTTCAGTAATTAACGTCACGGGAATGGAGGACATCTCAGCAGCCAGTTGAGAGTGGGAAGGACAAGGCCTTAGGACTGCGCTTCAGGAACACCAGCCTCTCCGATGGGTGGAGGGCACACTGAGCCCCCGAGAGAGGGCCTGGCTGCAGGGACAGGACCATGTCTGCGTTCTCCCGCGAGAGCAGTGAGACCAGGCCTGGGAGGCGGCCACTGGGTGGTTCCGCGGGGTCACCGATAACCTTAGGCAAAGCCATTTCCACATCGGAGGGGCTGGGAGTGGGAATGGGGCTATTGCTGATTACTGCAAAGAGGGGGCTGAGAAGGGAGCATGTGGTAGCTTAAGGGGCAAGAGGCCCAAATATTGACGGACCGACCTACGAAAAGCACCTCAGGGCCTTCCTGCAGACGTGAGCAGAGCCCGGGCAGGCTCACCTCTGAGGCTGGGAGCCGCGGGGTCAGGGGCCGCAGGGGCAGGAGGCTGCGGGGGAAGAAGGACCCTGCCAGGCGGGCACCATTGTAAGCCAGTGGGACAGGGATGGTGGAACGGCTCTTACAGAATCTGCCGACAACAGTGGGCTCCTCGATGCTGCTGTTGGCCAAGTAGCTGGGACCGGGTAGGATTGGAAGCTTCAAAACCTGCTTTGCTACCTGTTCTTGCTTCGGCTCACACACGTGTTACTCAGTCTCGCGAGGCTTCCGTTTCTTCACTCGCACCCCAGAGAGGACACTGCGCCCCGAGCACCGCGCCGGCCTCCGGACCTTCCTGCCTGAGTCCCTTCTTGTTCCTCCTGGAGCAGGCGTGTGTGAGTGTGTGTGTGTGTGTGTGTGTGTGTGTACGCTGAGCCTTAAAGGACAGTCCATGGGAGTCCTTCCTTCTCCACCTTATCTTCTATAGAAAATAACCTGAGTGATACAAATGTACATTTTTGGGGAAACATATGATTTGCTACTGCAATAATCATAACCATTATAAAAAAGAAATTTACCAAACGTTTTTGGCCTGTGTGCCTTTAAAAAAAAGTGTGTGTATTTTAAACAAAGCTTACTAATTTAGATATGCCACTTTGGAGACTTCCTGCCAGAGTAAGCGTTTTTCTATTTTCTTCTGGGACACACCTTAGTGTGACTTTATTTTGGTTTCTGAACCTTGCCGTTTGGCATAATTTCAGACTAGACACGATGCACTTGACATGAGCACTCTTAAGATTTAAAACACACAATATCTTCTCAGGGGGTGGGCGCATGAAAAAGGAAAAGCAGTTGAGGTCTCAGGTCCGGATTTTAGTTGGTTGTTTATTTAAAATTTTTTATTTGTAGTTTTGGCTCTTGAATTATTTCCTAGTATATTTGGGGCACGGAGATAACTATTTTTGTACCGGAATGGTGACATCGTCAGTCTGATTTCTTCTTTACAAGTTCAGTTGCTAAAGCTGTCTCCTTATCGGTGTGAAAACCGGCCCCATCCACCAGACCCAGCCTTTTTTTTATTATTATTATTATTTTATTAAGTTATTACATATGTGCACCCAGCCTCTCAAGAGGCGTCTGTGTGTGGCTTTTGGAGAAGATGACGAGCGTTTGCCAGCTTTCCTCAGCGGCATGTGCGGGAGGACGCAGCCTGTGTGCTGGGACGGCGGCCTGCTGCCCGCGCGGAGAGGTTCTCACCCAGCTTCTCTGAGGGGCCTTTGTGGGTCAGGGAGCTGGTTGGGTGGGATTTCTGAGCCTGGAGGGTGTTCTCACCGGGTGTAGGATGCTCCGTTTTACAAGCTTAAATCATACTCCGATGAAACCCTACTGGTCATACTGTCTTTAATCTAAAGACTAAATAAACTGTAGACACTACTTCAAAGAGGAGCCTTCGCTTTGATTCACTCCTACATTACCTATGAAGGTGGTTGGTTATGGGCCAGCCTTTGGAGCGGGCGGGGAACCTTATTTCTGCCAGGCACCAGGTGACTACCGATCACCATCATTCCTGGGCCAGACACACGGTCAACTTAAAAATCAGCCTGCTCTGTGCGGTCACGCATTTCACGAACTTACCCCGACGGCCTTGGCAGGGCCAGACCCAGTGAGTCCTGGGCCTCGTGCCCGCTTTAGCGAAGGGACTGGACGCAGGAGGTCAGTGCTGGGGGAGTGTTCCTGGGCATCCGCTCCCAGGCTTCCAGGTTAGGCATCGCCTTTTCACCAGAGCTGCTTCTCCTCGTGCCTCATGGGAGAGTGGGGAATAGACGGCTTTGGCTTTGGAAATACCTGGTGTTTCCTTGTGTGCGTTTAGCTTAATGTGCTTAAGTATTGGCTATGGAATACTGTCATCATTAGTAAGATCTCCATTAGCTTTTTTCTTTAAAAATAATTATTAATTTCCAAACCTTGTAAAATTAACATGTCATAAATTGGTAAATAGAAAACCCAGAAAATAAAATATTACTACTAATCTCCCCATCACCCAGAGCAAACGCTTTTTAACATTTTGGTTATATATCTTTCCAGTGCTTTTTTCATGTGTATGAATTCACACTTTAAAAAAACAACAAAAACACATGCTTTAAAAAAAATAGTGGGATATTGCTGCATATACTCTTTGTATTTTGGCATAATCCACTTTAACTTCCGTTTTTTATTATTTAGATGATTTGCCATTTCTGTGCTGCTGTTCTGTGTACCACATCCTGGTGTAAACTCTGGAAACTCTTGGGCACCTGTCCGACCGTCTCACCGTGTCCTCGCCTCTTCTGTGCCCCCCTCTCTGCCAGCACTTCCTTCTCCGACAGTAAGACCCGTCAGCGGGCAGTCTGTTCTCAGGCAGTCGGTTGGCTGTCGGCAGGAACATGCTGGTCCCTGTTGGAGGCAGGGGTCAGTGACACACAGACTCACTGTTTGCTGAAGAGAAATGACCGCAGCACAGGACCCCATGTCGGGACAGGCTGGTGTGTGTCCCCGGCCCCGGGCGCTCGGACCGCAGGGCAGCGCACCGTCAGGCAGCGCACCGTCAGGGAAGAGCGTTTGTTATGAAGGGCTCTTCCTGTGCCAGGTGCTGCGTCAGGCACATTGCTGGGCTCTGAGTGTGGGCAGTGCTGGGAGGTTCGTAATTAGTACTTATTCACTTTCACCATAAGAGGAGACTGAGCTCAGATGGCAAGTAGCATGGGAGGTGCCAGGGCTAAACCTGGCCAGCGCTGCCCAGGACCCGCCCTGGGCACGCACCGAGGCAGGCAGGCGAGGGGAGGAAGTAGGGTGGGGCAGGTGGGGCAGGAGTGTGGAACGTGGGGTGGCAGCTGAAGCCAGCATTCGAGTGGGTTGACAGTCTACACCTAGTGGAACTCACTGCCGGTACCAGTCTGAATTCAGACACCTTAGGGTGCAGCGGAGGGAGCCCCACAACGGGCACAGGGAGCAGAAAGGCCCCGCACTGCTGTTCTGCAGGCGGCTCTCCCTGTCCTCCCCCGGCAGCACCTCCACCGTCACGCACGTGGGACGGGGTGGTGCAGCCTCCGCACGCGGCATCGCTCACCACTAGTGAGACAGCCATGCGGGTATCAGTGTGACCCGACAGTTTGCTGTCGTTTTTGCCTCTTTCAAAATGTGCTGATATCACCCCAAACTCTAATTTCATGTAAATAGAGAGTGTTTTGGCTGAGAAATGATTATAGTTGTAGCTTCAAATACCAAAGAAGCCCAAAATAGATTCCTGATCAGGGCCGAGGAGAAAGTAAAGTAGAAAACAGATCAGCTGTCTCCCACACCCTGTCCTCCAGCCTCCGCCCCGCCCGCCCAGAGCCCAGCCCATGGAAAGTTTGGGGCTGTGACCTTCCCAGTGAGGGAGGAACAGCTGTGGCCGGGCTCCGGAGCCTCTGGGGAGGGAAGCAGCAGGTGACCGACTCCCTGTTTTCATGTTTGTTGGGGCACAAATGGGCTGGTTGTTTTTTATGCAGAAATCGGAGTTCCCAGTGAAAGAACCGCATGGTCATTTTGGATGTTTTTTTTAAAAAGCTCTTTAAGTATATACATGCTTATTTTAAGGGTCTTAATGAACTCAGAGACGCCAAGGTTGAGGATATTATAGGTCATTATTGACAGAAAACCACAAAAAGTGAAAACCTTCTTTGGTAAATGTCACTTACATCCAGTGTCTTTTCCCCCTTTGTCCCAACTTAAACACAAAACACAAAACCAGCAAGATAACTCGGTCTTTTTATAGTAAAACCGTGTCAGCCACAGAGAGGTGGTGCCTGCAGCTGTGACCAGAAGGTAGGTGTCTCCAAAAGCCGAGGTGCCCGTGCTCTGACCTCTTGCCCCTGGACACCTGGGGTGCCATCTCTGAGTCAATCTCAAATACAGGACCCCCCCCATCACAGGGGGTGCCTTCCGGGACCCCACTGGGTGCCTGAAGCCGCGGGTAGTACTGGACCCCACATGTACTGTATTTTCCTGTGCACACGGACCTTTCCCTTCATTGATAAGTGAGGCGCCCTAAGATTAACAACAGTAACCAGCAGTAAAATAGGACAGTTATAACACATGCTAATAAATTACAGGGGCGTGCTCGCTCTCAGATGTCCGATTGTGTGGCTCGCCTTCTTGTGATGACATGGAGTTTTCCATTTCTGTTTTTGGACCGAGGTTGACCACTGGTAACTGAAACCTCGGAAGGTGAAACCCAGGATAGTGGGGGTGAAGGGACCTTGTGTATACATTGACCTCTACACTGACCTCCCGCCTGGCGCCCCGCCCTGTCCCCTCCCCTCCGCCTCGCACAGACTCCAGGCCTTCCGCTCAGAGCCGGTGTTGACGTCTCACTTGCTCGTGAAACACTCGAATCACTTACCTGGGGTCAGACCCTTCCTGCTGTAGCTGCTGCCCGCTCGTATTCTCTGACTCCTCGTGCCCTCCCCTGCTTTAGCGGGAGCATCCTGTTTGTCCTTTAGCTTATCGGCGGGGCGACTGCGCTCCGCTCCCGAGCTTCGTGCCTTGCCCACTCCATTGCTTTTCCTCGTCCCGGGCCCTCGGGGAATCCCCCCCGCCTCCCCTTTTAGCAGGCGGACTGTTTCCAGCTCACTTAGGACTTCGAGTCAGGCAAGTACCTGTTTGAATCCCGGAGGCCCCACTGACTGTCAGGGCTGACGGCCAGTCTGCATGTGAGCCTTCCCTTCCCCACCCACTGCGCCCCGGCCCCTCCCGTGGGCCTCCGGCCACACCCGCCGTGGAGCCGAGCCCCGCTCCGGCACAGGCTGCGTCGCTCTGAGCGGCCAGCGCGGGCGGTGCTGGTGGTGGACATGTTTGATTTCACCCTTGTTACACGTGTGGCTTTGTACGCTGCTGGTCCTCTCTGAGTCACCCTCTCCTCTAAGCAGGGCTGATAATACCTGTTCTACAGGTGGCTCTGTGTGAAGTATGTGCCGAGGGCCTGTCTGCTGTAGCACTGACGTGGGTGCTTGGCTGTCCGTGAACACCGCAGAGCTCTCCGCTCCGCCTCGGAGCGTGTGTGCCAGTGTCGCGCGGGGAAGATGCAAGTGACGTACGTGTTCACATGGGGCAGACACGGGGCTCACGTGTTCTCGCCCTTTCTTCCCCTTTGCCCTCCTGGGCCATCGGGGCCAGAGGGCCAAGGGCAGTGCAACCTGGGAAAGGTGGAGCCAACACTCAGAGCTGGACTTGGCCTTCCCACAGAGGACCCGGGCCTGACCGCACTGCCGGGCGGCACAGATGAGAAGCCGCCTTGTGGGGGAGGGTAGGAACCTCAGGTGACCCTTCTCTTGGTGGCCGTGTCTCCCTGTGCTTGCGTCTCCCTTGGATCTAGCTCCTCCATCCTTATTCTAAGTCCCCCCCCCCCAGTCCCAGTCCATCACCTCCCCCCACTCTCAGATCTTTGCAATACAGACAAAGGCAAGACAATTGTGCCTTTTCCTGCCCTCATTTTCCTTTGAGGGGCGGCAGGTTCTCCCCTCCCCTCCTTTTACCAGAAGGTGAGTGCACTTGGCTCTCCTGCTGCTGCACCCCTTCCTTCTGTCAGCCCCCCATGGCCTGCTGCCTGTGCTCTTTCTGCTCAGCTCTTTGTAAGTGGCGTCTGTCCGTAGACCTGTGGGGTCAGCGGGCTCATGGCCTCCTGACCGAAGTCTCAGCCTGTGTGGCTTTGGGCAGGTTTCTTCATCTTCAGAATGATGTCATGTTTGCCTTTTAAAGTTGTTGGAGGATTAACAGTCAGGATGCACGGTGAGCGTTCAGTGAAAGGCACCTACTGTTGGTGACATTTCACCAAGTGGCCCTTCATTTTCCCTGGCACCACCCACGGTGCCCCCACCCTTTCCTGGAGTTCATCCTTTAGCCGGCCCTGTTGACTTTGGTTTTCTTTCCAAGGTCACGGCTGCTGTCACCGAGTGATCGCAGTCTCATCGCAGGGGCAGCCGTGCCTTTCCGCTCGATAACTTCACACTCGTCTTGAGTCTCCTGAGCGCCCCGCTGTGCGCCACGCGAAGCCTGCGTGAGGGCAGGGCTGGCCAGCAGGGGGCGTCCCTCCCCTGGCACACCTGTGCGTTTCACTCAAGTTGGTAAAAACCTGAGTGACGCTCGCCTGTGAACCTGCCGGCCCTTCCCACGGGGGAGGAGGAGTGCAGAGCTCCGGTCGGTCAGCAGGAGGCCTTTCCAGGTGGGTCTGGAAAGAACCCGCAACACCTGTTTCCAGAGAAAGCGAGAAAATGTGTATTTTGTTAGAACTGAATTAGACACCAAATAAAGGACATTCCTTAAGTGTGGAATGAATAGAACTTTCTAAAAACTGCTCAGGTAGCACAAAGTCGTATAGAGCCAAAAGCTTTATTTACTTTCAACCTTGACTGCTAAAAGGAGAAAATGAGAGGGTTCGTGGGAGCGCGTTTTACAAAAGTAGCTGTGGGCTCAGTTGTTAGACCCAAATATACACGAGGAAAACGCAGACACGGCCCCGCGTGCGCGGGCTGGGTGGTAGGAAAGGAGATTTCTTACGAGTGGGTTCTGTCCCCTCCACTTTGGGAGACATCAGTTCCTGGAGGCAGTTCCCGGGCTGTGTGTTCCTGTGCGTGTGCTGAGGTTGCCTGTCTCCTCCCTGGTCTGCCCACCGTGTAGACACCAGGATGGCCAGCCGCCCGCCCTGGCTAGGATGTGTCTGGGTCACACAGAGCAGCTTCCCTCACCCATGCGGCCCAAGAAGGAAACCTGTGGTTTGTCTGTGTGCAGACTGGCTGGGGCTGGTGGGATCAGGGACTGGCAGGGACCTGAGAATGCCTCTCTTCTTCCTCATTTGTAGACGCGGAAGCTGGACCCTGGGGGCTAGACTCCTCCTAAAAGACAGGCCGGGGCCGGGAGATGTGCGAGGAGAGGAGCTTTGTTAAAACCCCGGCTTCCTGCTTGCCAGCCTGTCACTGCTTACCCACCCGCGTCCACACCCGAGAGACGGAGTGTCTCTGAGTTTCTGATAAATTAGCCCTTTAACAATTTTAATAATCTCTGTGTTGGTGTTTTCTTTTTTGTTTTTTCTTAAGCCTTTAACAAGACTGATCATTAACCAGTAAAAACTCACTTGGTTTTGTTAATCTGGTGTTTCCTTTGTTTTCTATTTTATTCATTTCTGGTCTATATTCCTTTTACTCTCTTGAGCTTGTAAAAAATAAGTTATTGAATGTTTCATGAATTTCTAAGGTATACATTTAAGGCTCTACATTTTTATGTGTAGTATTTTAGCTGTGTACTTTAAGTTTTGATTTGTATTTTCATGTTCATTTCAGACTATTTTATGATTTACATTTTAGCTTTTCTAGACCTATGACTTAGTGATTTTTAAGTTTTCAAATGTCCAGATTTTGGGGGACTGTCTTCCCCTTCGTGAAATTGTTAGAGATAATAATAGGCCAACACCTGGCAATAGTGGGCACTCAGCAAATGCTCTCACTTTTCCTTAGAAAAATTAAATGCTTTTGAAATTAGAACTTTTTCAATAAGTGCCATTTATAGCATAATTTCAGGAAACACAGCAAAAAAACACCCCATCATTTTCATGGTGATAAAGCAGTTCTTAAAATTAAAAATTAATGATCTTGACCTTTTGTTGTATTATAAAACATTCAAATATGGAAATATATACAGTAGGAGGTGAGTTGTCTACCTGACTTTATATTAAATGCCATCTCTAGAGTTAACCACCTGAAAGTTGGTTATATATTTTTCTAGGCTTTCTAATGTATATTTAGACATAAACACAAATACTTTTTCATATAAATGAAATACTAATTATAATGTTTTTACAGATCATTTTGCCTCATTAGCAGTATATTGAACATATTTCTATGTATGTGTTGCTTATTCTAATACTAATACTATTGCTTAGGCCAGCGGTTCTCAACCTGTGGGTCGCAACCCCTTTAGGGGTCAAACGACCCTTTCACAGGGGTCCCTTAAGACCATCGGAAAACACATATATAATTACATATTGTTTTTGTGATTAATCACTATGCTTTAATTATGTTCAATTTGTAACGATGAAATTGGGGGTCACCACAACATGAGGAACTGTAGTAAAGGGTCGCGGCATTAGGAAGGTTGAGAACCACTGGCTTAGGCTTTGAGTTTTTCCCCAGATTCTGAAGGACAAATACCTGTTTTTAAATGAAGATGCTGTGCGGCTGTGCTGCCTGTCACTGCTGTCAGTGTGCATTGTTCTTGCACAGACTGAGAAGCAGTGACACTGAAGGCTCAGTCAGTCCCCACACAGCCGGCTGTTCATCTTCGCTATAAAGCACACCTTCCTCTTACGCATGTGTGTGTGTGATTCCGGTTTATAAATTGCTACAGGGCCAGCAGGATTGCTGTGTAAGAGTCTCGTAAGCTGGGCGGCCTGGTGATTTTAGGTGCTTCCTGCTGGGGAACAGGGCCCATTGCGATTCGTGGTCTGTGCCGAGCACGGCAGCACAGCGCACGGCGGGCACAGTGCGTGAGAATGCCGTCCCCGGGCCTGGAGCTCGGCCTCGCTGACCTGAAGGGGTGGAGTGGGCGCTGCCACGGACTAGGGCGTGCGGGGGGTGCTTTGTGACGGCTGCGGCTCTGACGGTGTCTAGTGGCCCCAGAGAAGCGGCTGGAGATGGGCCTGCAGAGGATCGTGTGTTGAAGTCCTATCTGAAGGTCCCTGCTTTACGCCCTGTCGCCTCACGTGGAAATCTGAGTGGGGCTCCGCCTTTTCTCCGAGAGAAGGGGGAGAGCAGTGCTCGTGGGCGCTGGGCTGTGCGAGTGCGTGGGGACGGGGCTGCCGGGGCAGGCCTGTGAGCAGCTGCCCTGTGAGGGGTGCTCCCCGGGAGCTTGCGCGGTGCTTGTTGGCACAGAGTTAGACGTGCTTCCCGAGCCTGTGCTGGGGCTCCGTAGCGTGTTGACCTCTTTTTCTTGGTTTGTTGTAACCTGAGTCTTTTGGAGAGAAAAGCCACTTACAGCCTTTCAGGACCTGAGTTGCTGGTTGCACGTGATGATGGTGTATGTGCCTCCGAGGCTCCTGCACCCCGTGTGCTCACGTGTTCATGTCTCAGCAAATACTCCCGCTGGTCCCTCAGCTGCCACCTGTTCCGGCCAAGCTGGGCTTCCCTCGGCGCCTCGCCATGGCCCCGCCCGCCCGCCCTGCCGCTGCCTGGGTAGGGGCCGCGCTGAGCACTGGGCAGTGCTGTGTGGGCTCTCCAGCTTCCTCCTGGGCTCTGGGCCCGCGCCCTGGGGCTGCCCTGCCTCCGGAGCCTGATCCATCAGCTTTGCTCCCACCCAGCGGGGTTTCCTGCAGCTCCAGCGCCTCAGTGACACGCTGCTGAGGTCTCCTCACTCCTTCCCGTCCGGAGTCCTCTTGCCGTGGGATCGGGATGGAAATGTCTGCTGAGGAGGAAGGGGCTTGTCCAGAGCCGGACACGCGAATCCCCCGTGGCTCAGCGTGACGTGTACTTTCATGTCTGATACGAGATCTTTCGCGGAGATGGAGGAAGGCCGTGGATACTGAAGTAGTCATCACTTTAACAATATCCGGAATTCTATGTCACTCCTTTTCTTTACTTTTGCTTCTGCATATTAGCAGCTCACAGTTTACCTCAGTCTTTCTCTCTCTTTAAAGTGCATTTTAGATTTATTCCACTGAAATGTAACAGCATATTTTTAAGCAAGTATGTACTCCATACAAAATGGGAGCGATCTCAGTGACCACGTCCTTGGGGGAGAATATAGGAAACACATACCAGGTGTGGGCTGGCGTCTCCCTCCGTGTATCTCATACGGGGGCACTGAGGGCGGACAGACAGCTACCAGACGTGCTCAGTGAACGTGACTTCTCTGAAGAGGGATGCTAATTAAGAGAAAAATACTCTAACCCTGACCGGTGTGGCTCAGTGGATAGAGCGTCAGCCTGCGGACTCAAGGGTCCCAGGTTCGATTCCGGTCAAGGGCATGTACCTTGGTTGCGGGCACATCCCCAGTTGGGAGTGTGCAGGAGGCAGCTGATTGATGTTTCTTGCTCATCGATGTTTCTAACTTTCTATCCCTCTCCCTTCCTCTCTGTAAAAAATCAATAAAATATATATTTTTTAAAAAAGAGAAAAATACTCTAGAATTAGTAGGGTCAAAAAGAGTTTCTGTATCCTGTCTGTATTAAGGAGAGAACATGAAAGGGTTTATTTGGAGAAAATCTTCCTATGACATTAACTTTGACACAGAGTTCTCTATTATACCCTAAAAAATACCATTGAAAGTAATCTCTAGAGTAAGGAGAGAACATTCCCTTTTCTTAGAGTAGGGTGTGTGTTTACTCTAGCGGGTGGACACGCCTGTGCGTGATGCGTGTGTGGGCTCTCCTGGCTTGCAGACGCACATCTCTGTCCTCACATGGCCTTTCCTGGGTGTGTGCATTTGGAAAGAGACATCTCTCTCTCCCTCTTCCTCAGGACCCTACCTTTATGACCTTATTTAACCTTAATCACCTCCTAAAAGCCCTATCTCCAAATACCGTGAAGTCGGTGGTTGGAACTCCAACGTAAGAATTTGTGGGGAGGCAGGTTCAGTTCATGAGGTGCACATGGATCCTATATAATAAAAGGCTAATATGCAAATCGACCCAAGGGCATTCGACCAGTCCCTGTGCCGAGCTCAGGGCTGGTGAGTGCAGTGGCAGTGGCGGGACCCTCTCCGCCTTCGCAGCAGCACTAAGGATGTCCGACTGCTGGCTTAGGCCCGCTCCCCCCGGAAGCTGGTTGCTTTCCTTCTGTCAGCCCTGACTTCAGGCTTTGCTTTCTCTGAGAACTTTCATTTTCTGGCTTAAGTTACCACTTCTAAAGCCAGCAATTTGCATATCTCTGTCTACTTCTGATCTTTATCCTGAATTTCATATATTTAGCCATTCACAGTTTTTATTCATAGCCAGCTGTGTGCCTGGCACACAGGACACCAAGATCGTCTTTGCCCTTCAGTTGCTGACAGTGCAAAGGGGCTTGAAGATGCAATGTCACCGCTGTGTGGACAGGTTCTGTGGGCGGAGGAGGCAGGTGTACATGGAGTGCACTGGACGCCAAGGGAACCAGGAGGGCAAGTGTCTTACCAGAACACACAGGGTGGGCAAAAGTAGGTTTACAGCTGTTCGCATGGGAAATAATACACTCATTAGTAATAATAATACAAGAATAAACTCTGTGGTTCACGTACTCACAACTGTAAACCTACTTTTGCCCCATCTATAATAAAAGCGTAATATGCTAATTAGACTGGACGACCTTCCAGACGAAGCTGGGGCTGTGAGAGCTGAGCCCCTTGCAGGAATTTCGTGCATCGGGCCTCTAGTCCTGTCTATTAAGGCACCTATGGTTTTTAAAAGAATATATTTGTATTGATTTCAGAGAGGAAGGGAGAGGGAGGGAGAGAGAAACATCAATGATGAGAGAGAACCCCCAGCACACCCCACACAACCGGCATGTGCCCTGACCGGGAACTGGACCGTGACCTCTGGGGTCATAGGTCAGTGGTCAGCCACGCCGGCCAGGTGGCACCAGTGGCTTTGAAAACATTATGTTCAGGCAACAGCACATGGTTCAGTGTGGTTGGGCCTAAGGGCTCGGGGGTGGGGGAGGAGGAGAGATGAGGCTGAGCGTTTGAGAAGGTGCCAGATGACCCCAAAGTCAGTATTCTTCATACTGAACTCTTTTCTTCCACTATAAACCAGCCCCCGCCCAGCTTTACCCCCCGTCTCCACACCTCAGTGTCCCCTCCGCCTGCCTCAGCAGTGCCGTTAGCAGCCTGTCGTTTCTCTGTTCAGAATGCTCTTCCAGGCGTCCTTTCTGTTTTCAGGCGACACGTTGCTTGTCGCTTAATCGCTGCGTTATTTTAGGGCTGCGTTACACGTCCCCTTTTCTACTTTTTAAAAAACTTAACACCCAGCGCCCCTCATTCACCCTGTGCTGACCCTAAGCAGGAGGACGGTGACACTCCCTTCCTACAGGACAAGAGTTCTTCTGTGCAGGCAGGTCTGCAGCCCACTCCCTCCCATTCACACACAGAATGCAGGGTTCGGTCATCGGCACAGAGACGTGTCCATCAGCTTCATGTCTTTATGGCGGCCCTTACCTGTCTCTATACCGAGCGAGCCTCTCGGAAGGCCGGTCTCCCCAGTCCTGCCGCTCATCCCAGTTCTGCCTGGTCCCGAGCTGCACTGCTTCCCGGTCTCTCAGGGTTCGCAGCTCTGCGCCTCGCCGTGACGGATGTGACAACTGGGGGTGGGGGGGTCCTAGTCCCTATTCCAGGGCGAGGGAGGGCTGGTTAGTTCCTGTCGCTCCGGCCCGGCCAGTGTGAGCGCAGTGCATGCTGGCTGGACAGCGCCCCCCGTGCTCGTGTCCGTGTGCCCGGCTGGCCTCTGCCCGGCCGCTCCTGCTGCGCCCTCGCCTGCTGTTCGGTTCTGTTTGCCTTTTCTTTTTTTCTCGCTGCTCCAGCTCAGGCTGACCTCTGCGGTCCCTTAGGGCAGTGGTTCTCAACCTTCCTAAGGCCTCGACCCTTTAACACAGTTCCTCATGTTGTGGTGACCCCCAACCATAACATTATCTTCGTGGCTACTTCATCACTGTAATGTTGCTACTGTTATGAATCATCATGTAAATATCTGATATGCAGGATGTATTTTCATTGTTACAAATTGAACATAATGAAAGCATCGTGATTAATCACAAAAACAATATGTAATTATATATGTGTTTTCCGATGGTCTTAGGCGACCCCCGTGAAAGGGTTGTTCGACCCCCAAAGGGGTCGCAACCCACAGGTTGAGAACCGCTGCTGTAGGGCCTTTTAAACCATCGTAGAAGTTCGACCTGTTTTGTCTTTTATGGTATCTCCTTTAAACTTTACAGGCAGTAAGATTGAGGTTTTGGTTGTACAGTTCTTCGAGTTTGACAAATGCTTAGAGTTGTGGACTTACCATCACAGTCGAGATACAGAACAATTTCCTCTGCCCCTCCCCCAAATATATCTTGTATCATATTTAACAACTCCTGAGCGTGCGTTCGGTGTCTGTGTGCAGTGCAGGCCCCGCCCCTGGTAGCTGCTACACTCACTCATCCCCTTCAAGGCCTAGCCTAGAGTTGAGTATAAGTGAGCAGAGACTTGAACGGTCCAGTTCTATACAACAAAGCCCAGCTCGTTGGGATGGACTAAGGAACTACTCATTGAAGTTAGTTTCTCTTTGGTCTTTCATTTTATTTGGGTGAAAAATCTCAAATGAACATTATTCCTGTATTGCTTGTCATAGTGATTTTGGAGGCTTGCCAGGGCTTAATAAAGACCACTTTTAATTTGTCTTTGGAATATAAAGGGCTTGTTTCTTTCTGTTTTTATTATCAAATATACTTACGGTTTCTTTTGTTTTCTAACCATATTTTTAATTTTAATGTGAAACAAAATTCTATACCTTGCCCCTCCTTAACCACATTTGGCTGTTTTGATAATTATGGTTATTAAATGTTATTTACTGAGTTTCCTTTTTTTCTTGAATATATTTAAGATATGAAGCAATTCAATAAAAAACGAGTTAGTTATGAAATGTAAATGCAGAACCGTGCGTTTTCCCCACTGTGCCTTTCCCGGCCAGCTGGCTCCCTTCCCGGGTTCCGTGTCGGTGACCGGGGCGGGCGGGGCGAGCGGCCTGCCTGCTGCCCGCTGCACTCCGAATGGTGGAGCACGGGTTCCTTTGCGGAAAGGGCAGAACATGCTTAAGATGTGCACCCCATGCAGTAGACTTGGCCTCCTAATGAAGTGAATTGAATGTAACCATGTGTGTCTTTTTCCCTTCCCAACAGCTTCCATGCCCATGGCTGCTCTAAATTTGGGCCACATATACCCATTTCAGAGAGGCTTTTTCTGTAAAGACAACAGCATCCAGTACCCGTACCGTGACAGTACCGTCACCAGCACCATGCTCACCGTGCTGGGGCTTGGGTTACCCATTTCCTCTGTAAGTAAATGCATGTGTAGGTAGGTGGCGCTGTGTGTGGTGCTGGAGGGTGGTGGAGTGATGGCGTTGGGGGTGAGGCCACCCCGGCCTTCCCGGTGGGTGTGCTGACTGCCCACTGCCCGAGAAGCAGGCCGCTGTGTTCATCAGGGGCAGCTTCTCCGGGAAAAGGGGGTGCGATGCCACAGAAATAAGTGGGGTCGTCCTGAAGACTGACGGGTGATCTGTTAGCGGGGAAGGCTCACCCCAGTCATTTGGAGCAACACCTTTCACGACATGAGTGAAGACACCTGCGCAAGCCCAGAAGGCGATTTTGTGTTGATAAATAACATGATAAGCTAAGATTGTGCTTGTTTTATCATATCATTACATGGAAATTGAGGCCATAATGAAGGAGACAGATGTATGTATTAAACCTGAGAAATAAGACATGTGCAGAATAGAATCCTCAGGACACCTCAGACCGGGTCAGGGGGTTGAGGTTGTGCGGTGCTGGAGGTAGGTCATCGGTCTGGGGTAGTGCTGGGCTTCGTTATGTCAGAAACCCGGGAAGTTCCCTTCTAGGCCAAGTGCCACCCGCAGATAAGCTGTCGCGCTTGCGTCCTTCACCCTGGGCTCCGATTCCGGAACCTCCCTGTGCCTCTGTGTGCCTCCCTGTGTCTCCTGCGCCCCGGGAGGTTTCTCCTCCGACCGCCCGGCTCCCCAGGGAGTGGGCTTGCTCAGCACCTGTCTCCACAACAGGGAGGCTGGCTTTTCTTTTCTTCCCTGGTTTGCCCTCAAATTGCCTCTGAATAATAACCTGCTCCTTGGGTTTTCTAGTTTATATCTCAGTTCATTTTGTCTAATAGATTTTTTTAATAGTCTTTAGCACCATGTTGTGAAGGGGACTTGGATTTTGTTAGGTTCCAAGATATCCTATACGATAAAACCCTAATATGCAAATAGACCGAACAGGGGAACAACCCGGTCGCTATGACACGCACTGACCACCAGGGGGCGAATGCTCAGTGCAGGAGCTGCCCCCTGGTGATCAGTGCGCTCCCACAGGGGGAGTGCTGCTCAGCCAGAAGCCAGGCTCACGGCTGGAGAGTGCAGCGGCGGTGGCGGGAGCCTCTCCCGCCTTCGCTGTAGGTGGGTGGTAAGGAGTCCTGGACTGTGAGAGCCCTGGACTGCGAGAGGGATGTCTGACTGCTGGCTTAGGCCCGATCCCCAGGGGACACCCCTCTCCCCCAGTGCACACATTTCATGCACCGGGCCTCTCGTATTAAATATTTCCATAGATAGCATATACACTCTAATTTGATTATAACCACTTATATAGGAATAAAAAGGGAGAAACATCTGTATTTAGTTTAAGGAGATACTTTTTCCCAAGAGGTAAATTCCACCATAACTGGGCGCGTCTGCTGTGCCGGCAGCGCGGCCTCCGTGCGCAGGAAAGCAGGCGTGCCGTCGCCGCTGGGCGCAGTGCAGGCCTGGGTTGCAGCCATGGCTGTGAGCAGCTGTTGCCAGGTAGAGTTTTCTGTGAACCACCCTGTACTTGAGGAGATGGTTGCTTGAGGATAAGGAAGTGATTTTTAGTCATTTCATCTCTTTCTAAAAAATGTTAAATTATAAAAATAATACATATTTATTAGTGAATTTAAGAAAATCTGTTATAAAGAAAAAAGGAAGGAGAAATCGCCCTAATTAGTTCTGCTACCTGAAGAAAACCATTAACATTCTTATACTACTAGTATTTCCTTTAATTGGGCAGGTTTTTTAAAAAATCTTCACCTGAGGACATGTTTTTATTCATTGAGAGAGAAAGAAAGAGAGAGAGAGAGAGAGAGATCCATTGGTTGCCTTCTGTACACACCCCGACACGGGATCGAACCGAACCCATGTCCTGGGTGTGTGCTGCGCCTGCTCATCGAATTTTTGACCCTTCAACCTTTTGTGCACAGGACCAAGCTCCCACCAACGGCCACCCCAGCCAGGCTGGCTGGTCAGTGTTCATACCATTGTGAACACACTGCAAACTCAGTTTGTGCCTTGTTTTATACTTCTTTGTATAGTGAACATTTTTGAGTTATTATAAATATCAAACAGCTTAAATTAGGAAAAATACAGCTAAATTTTCAAAAAGTAGTAGAAAAAGACTTGGGTAAATCCTTGCGTTCTCATTCCCAATATTGGAGCGGTGATCTGCAAAGATTTTCTAATGAAAACGTGTTTCTGGTAAAAGCAGTAGCAGCATGAGGCTGTCGGGCTGCATGTGCGGCTGGTGCCCGCGGCGACTTGTCTGTTCATTTTCATAGTTTACATGTCACCTCAGACGTAGAGGGCCTCAGCCAAAGGGAAGACTATAGATTTTTATGTTTTCTTGGCTTAACGTTTCTTTTTGGGTTTTAAGGATCTAATTTCACACTAAATGTTTCCCTTCCCTCTGGCTTTGTGTAGGTTTACCTTTTCACTCCCCAGGTCCTTATACATTTACTTTCATAAATGTCACATTTCTAGAAAAAGATAGAAGCTTGAATTTGTATGCAACTTTTAGAGTGATGAAAGTTAATTCCCAAACCCCTATATGGCAATGCATATCCTTTTTCTAGAGTGTAAAATGGATCTAGTTTGGGAACAGAAAACGTACTTTCTGCATTTCCCAGGTTATTTTACATTGACTGTGAGTAGTTGCTTCTCTTAGGTCTTGATTATTCTATAGCACAGCCTTTTAGTAAACTTATGTTTAGCCTAAAATAATATAGTATAGCCAACTGTGTGTGTGTGTGTGTGTGTGTGTGTGACCAACATACAAAACTCCTAAAGAGACATTGAATATTTTACAGTGATCTAAACTGCACCATGATAACTGGGAATGCATGTGGAAAATGAACTGTCCTATATAATAAAAAGCTAATATGCTAATTAAACCAGACCGCGGAACGACCTTCCGGAACGACCTTCCGGAACGACCAGTGGGCGGGGCTGTGGGGCTGAGAGGCAGTCGGGCTTTGAGGGCCGAGCCCCTTGCACAAATTTCGTGCGTCGGGCCTCTAGTATGTTAATAAACACTGACTTTATGATCGAAGTATGTATACGTTTTTTGGGACACTCTGAATTTGTCGAAAGCCACAGAACTGTACAGTACAAAGAATGAGCCCTTTTTCAAAACTCTCTTAGCTCTCTGGTTGCCTTGCTTTCCACACACATTTTAGAGTCAGTGTGTCTACCAGCAGTCTGGCAGGATCTCTACAAGAGTCACGTCCCTTTGGAGAGAACGACGCCTTCCCCTTGCTAACTCTTCCGTCGAGTCTTCTCTAGGCCTCTGACTGACTTCATCCGTGTTTTGTCACTTTCAGCACACAGAGCCCACACGGTTTGTGAGGTTTATGCCTAAGGATTTCAGTGTTTCGGACTATCACAAATGGTATTGTGCTTTTAATGTTGGTTTTCAGTTGTTCATTGCTGCTGTATAGAATGGTCAGCAGAGTTTTATTGTCACACTAGAGGCCTGATGTACGAAATTCATGCAAGAGTAGGCCTTCCTTCCCCAGCTGCCAGCACCGGCTTCCCTCTGGCACCCAGGACCCGGGCTTCCCTCGCAGCCCCAACTTCATCCGGAAGGTCGTCCAGAAGGACATCTGGTCTAATTAGCATATTATGCTTTTATTATTATAGATATAAGCAGAAGGAAAAGAAGGCATCAGCATAGTCTTTCTGCTATCTTATCAGTGTGATTGTATATTAGGTCCTCCTGGCATCTTTTGAGAAATGTATTTTCAAAATTGACTTTCCTCCGTGGCATTTTCCATCTGGGAGAATAAACAAGGGAGCTCTGCAGAAGGCCTGCTGGAGAAAGTGCAGTCCCCACCCACAGCCTCACACAGCTGCTAGCCAAGCGGCACAGGCAGCTGGCGAAATAGCAGAGCCCTTTCTCCAGCAGCTGGGCCTCCCCTTCCGGTGCAGGCGTCGGGAGAGGGACATGAGCCTGAGAACCCACAGGCGGACACCGCCCTCTCCGTTCCGTGTGTTTCTGTGCCACTGAGCGTGGCACCTGACCTCGCAACAGGTCTCGAGGGGCCTGGCATCTGTCAGGATTTCTTAGCCCTGAGCCCGCGTGTCCCTCAGCGGTTGGCTGCTGTGGGCTCTGGCGTGCACACCATCTCTCCTGGGCACCTGCTGTTTCCGGTCCATGGGATACTGTCCTGCAGTCAGAGGAGCAGGCTTCAGTCTCCGCCCGGTGGGTGAGCCTGTGGCATCGCTGGGGGAGGTGTGTGTGTAGTTCCCCGTTAGCTGGGTTTCTCAGGTTTGCTGGACACCCCGTCGGCAGTGTTTCTACTTATACACTCGTTGATATTTGAGTGACGTATCGAGACGCAGAGTGTCTGTGCAGGAGGGTTGGAGAGGAGGGGGTGCCCACGTCTGATGGGCTTGCGATGACTGGCAGTGGGTGAGGTTCTGTGGTTGGCGTGTGTGGAAGCGAAGCGTTTCCGTGTCACGTGCTCTCTGCGATGTGTTCTAGCTGCACTGGAGGAGGGCGGCTGTGACTGTCCGTGTGAGTGAGTTCACGTGCAGAGGGCCTGACTCTCTGGGCTCACGTCACCAGCCATGTGGCGCCTTGAGGAGCAGAAGGCGGGAGGTGCAGAGCTGCAGCCACTCGGAAAGCAGCCGGCAGCTTCTCAGGAAGCCGGATGCGTGACCATTGTCTGTCCGAGGGCACCACCCTGGTCATTAGTCATAAAGGACAGAACCGGAGACGACCCGAGCGTCCGTCGGCTGGCGAGTGGATGAAGCAGACGTCTCCGCGTGTGACCAGGACCCTGGTCATCAGCAAACAGGAGCGAGCTGCGTGCTCCCACACGATGACCCTCCCATCACAGAACCCCACGCACCATGTGACGTAGATGAAAGCTTTGCAAAAGGCAGGTCTGCCTAGCGACAGCAGGTGAGCGGTGCCCGGGCCGGTGGCAGCGAGACCGACTGCGTGCCCGCGTGCCCCTCACTTGCTGCCGCGAGTGTTC